CCCCCCCCCCCCTCCCCCTCTCCCCCCTTTTTTGGGCATTGAAAACAAATTTCATAACCAGTTATAAAACTTTTTTTTCACTTTAATAGACAATTTTCATGTAAAATAAAGCCAAACGAATACTAAATTTTGATAAAAAAAAATGATTTTTTAAGGAAATTTTTTTATAACCAATTGTGAAAAAACATATCATTTTAATGGACAATTTTCATGTAAAACTAAGTCAAACGAACACAAAATTTAAAAATTTTTCACCCAGAAAATTATACTAATCAAACACACTTAATTAACAATTTCATACAAAACATTTTTTAGGCAATTATTTTTCATAGAATTCATTTTCTTTACACCCATTTTCTATCCTTACAATCAAACGGACCCTAAAGGTTGTTTCACTCATGCTTCTTATAGCTACAATAAATCCCTCCCCATGAAAAGCTGTAGCGACAAGTTCTCTCAAACTCAACACTAATTTGTTGTTTGTTTGGTGGATAGTTGGATAAGTTTGGTAGCATTAACTTGAGACCAATTAGGTATGGTGGTTATTACAAGTAGTTTTTCGTTGCGGGGCTATTATTCACCAGAAATTGTACAGGCCCTCGTCCTCTGACATTTTCTAATTTTTGCTCGGATTGTACGATCTATATTTAAATGATTTTGTTACTCTTTTGAACGAAAATGGGTGTTGATTCAATTCACTTTGTCCCTTGAAATGGGAACAAAGTGGCCAATAAATCTCGCTCGCTTCTTCTATTCTATCCCGACCTCTTTCGACTTGACTAATTGTGTCCCCTTTTTCATTTTGTCCACTGTTACAGACAATGCTCCATTTTAATAAAGATACCTTTTCCAAAGAAAAAGATATCAATAGGCTTGTTTCATGTTCGCCACCTAGTTTCTATATATCGATTTAATCACCCAACTTATATTTTTATTCAAGTTTGACTATTCCGCATATTTTTGTGACTATACGTATATTTCTAACGGCTAATCGAAAGTGGTTACCAACATGTGTGAAACTGACACTTATTTGATGCTAATTCATCAATTTCTGTTAACAAGAAAATACGAAATTGTTGAATTAAAAACCCTAAATTTGCTCTCTGTGATCTCCTTTGAATTTGTTAGGAAAAAACTAAAGCTCATTTAATACCAAATAAACCGGTCACACATTTCATCACATGAGTGGGACTAGCCACTAATTGGTGAGTGTTGTTGTTAAACTGAACATTCCATTCCCATTTTGGGTCTCAGACAAACTGAAACACAGCCCAAGTTGAAAATGGGCTGGCTTTACCGAAAGGCCCAAACCATAAGCCTAATTTTTCGGGCGGAAAATCGCAATCACTCGCCTACTTCAATATTAGAATTCCAGAAATGTCAAAGTTCAAGAATGCAACTTTTATTTCTCTCTCAAATATGTTAAAAAACTATGTTAATCCAATTTTTTGTAATTTATATTCAAAAAAATAAAACAGATAAATATTACTACAATTAACGAGATTCGGAACAAAATAAAAGCATACATTATATATATTATATTTAAAATAAAAAAAAATCTGATTTGTAAGGCCCTGTTTGGGGGATTCAAATCAGATTTTTAATAAATTTTGATAAAAGTTGATAAAAAGTATGGTTGAAAAGTTGTGGATTTCATAAAATGTGTAGATAAAATTAGTTTTTATCTTTGAATTAGATTAAAATCTGAATTTTAATTTCTGCCGACCAAATAAAATAAGATAAGGGATGGCCCAATTTGTTTGACATTTATCCTTTTGTGGAATTCCAACCATTAACAGATAGATATTTTGCACCGCTAGCTAATACAGATGTATC